CACCCTCTTGACCTAGGGCAGCACTACCTCCTCAAGGCACTTAATGTAGGCCTGTGTTGAGTTTGAGGCTCTCAGCAACAAATTTAGGAGTCCTTTTCCTATTAGAACAATCAGTGTTTTCTGAGCTGCCGTACCTTCATAATCACCATTATACTCAACCAACACTTTCCGAATGCTTTGCATTGTCCTCAGATTGACACCCAAATACTCTGAAATGTTCATATTGGAGCTTCTGGTGTGAACGCCTAGCAGTACAGCATGCCGTTTCCAAATTTCTGGTGGAGTGGAGTGAATTGCGTAATGATGCTCTTTTTCTCACAGACAGTGCCCAACTGAGCCTTCTATACTATGCAGTCAACAAAATCAAAAACAATCCATCTGCATATGCAAAATTAAAAATATAAAATGGCGAGAATTTACCCATCACACCCTGTAATTGGATTTTTTTTTTTTTGCTATTATTTCATATTCTTGGGAAAAATTCCAAAGATAATTCATAAGTAAATTGAATCAGATTAATGGACAAAGTTTTGTTTTATTTTAAGTATTTAAAAAAAAAAAAAAAAAAAAAAAAAAAACTGTCATTATCTAATATATAAAGCTGAAAGCCTCAAATTTAATGAAATAAATGTGAGTAAATGAAAATTTTCAAGCTGGTACCTCTGAAAAGAATGTGACCTAAACACTACTTTGCCACACCATTGAATAATGCTGGATGATTTGTTCAATTTTCTTGTTGGAAGAAAGCAGTCCTAATAGAAAATTTTTAAGGAAAAGAATAATAGGAAGCATATCTATATCAATATTAGATTTGCAGCTATAATACTTTAGAAAACAAATTTAATTTAGAGTTAACTTATCTTTCCTACATAACCTCATGAATACCACTTCTTGCCTTATACTCAAACTACACCATACAGAAATCCTCTACTTTTTGCTCTTGGGCCATGTATTGGGTGAACATTAGTATAAAAATTCCTTCAAAAGAATTTCATGCCAAACTTGTATTCACTCAAATGAAAGCAGATATTCTGCTATCCAAATTCAGGATATCACATTACTTAATTGATCTTTGTAATGACAATTTTGTTTTGAAAAATTCAGGCAACTATATTGATTTCTATTTTACAGTTTATCAACCTTTTTATTAGGTTATTTAAATCCAGAATATATTTTTGGATTGGAAGAATTTTTGAGAGATAATAATGATTTACTGAAACAAGTCCTACTAATTAACCCATAGCTGGTATTTGTGCATAAGTGAATAACAAACATGACTGGTATTCAAACTCTGCTCTCAGATTTTCAATTCTAAGCTGTTATCCATTACACCACTTACACATCCAAGCTTACAGAACCTCATTGTACATGAGTATCTCAAAGTAGGTTATTGTGCAGTGTAGTATGAGCATAAAAGGCAAGAAGTGGCATTCATGAGATTATGTAGGAAAGATAACAAAACTAAATTTTTTTTCTTCTAATGTATTATAACCGTTTGATATAAATGTTCTTGCTATTCTTTGCTTTATTCCAACTAGAAAATTGACCCAATCAATCATTAGTGTGTGCTTACTATTCTTTTCTTTCATGGTGTTCATTTTTATGCTTAGGCACTCAAGGAGGTTATTAGAGCATAACATGTGCTGAATTTTTTAAATATTTTTCTTTTTTTCTAACTGTTCTCTATTATTTTATCTTCACTCCACAAGAGATGGTGACCCCCTTTTTCTCCACACTATGCATGATTACCCATGTCAGACTTTATAGTGGAAACTATATTTCAATATCCTTTCAGTTTTACCTTTTGGGGACAGTTGAAGAGTGATATATAAATTTCTAAAAGATATAGATCTAGGACAAGTTGATTTTTCTCTTTATTTAGAAAATCAACATTGCACTGTGAAAGCTGGGATTTCATGTAATAAGTACTAACACCAAAAATTAGATTCATAGCTTTTACCAATTTTTGAGCATTTAGTTTTAAATTTTGCTTACAAACCGACTTCAAAATTTTACTATTTCAAGAATAAATCCAAATAAAGTTAATATCGTTTGTATTAGATTGAATGGAAAATATATTCAATTCAGAATTATAATGAATCACTGCAAACAAAATATGCAGTTTTTTTTTTTTTTTTTACTGTATTCAATAAATAAAAACTAAAAAAAAAAAAATATTGTAAAAGATTACAAAAAGACTACTCAATGTAGGTAGATAATTAATAAAAAGAAAAAAAATATAGATAAATGTGTATATAACACCATAATACTGCTGGGCACAATTTATAAGACAATGTTTTTGTGCCATGCATCTTGTCCATATACAATTTGTAAAATTTTATAAGGCTGTGCTTTCCAATGCTATGATTTTGACTTGGGAAAAAATATTTTGTGTCATTATTTATTATGCCAAACTCCAACTTTCAAATTGAATGCAATAACACGGTTCCAAAACTGACCTGCCCTTATAGTCAACCCACTAATAGTCATTGTCCCAAGTAAAGAACTTTAACATGAAGACAATTTAAAATGAATGCTTTCTTTTGAGCTTGTTCATCAAGGTTCCCATAAATGAGGTCCTATCAGTAACTAAGGATAAATGAAAATACGACTCTTCTCTAGCGATATATGCTATCGATTGTTTTTTTTACAACTTAACCCTTTGGAGGTTATTTAAAGCCAAAAAATATTTTTAGATTGTAAGAATTTTTTTGTTTTTAGATAACTTAGTGATACAAGTCTTAATAGAAGAGGTGGATTCATACCTTTCCCCAAAGGTATTTGCACATAAGTAAATATAATAAACCCATGTGGAATTTGAACTCAGCTCTCCAGTTAACCATTCTGAGCCATTATCCATTACACCACCCTCACATCCAAACTTACTGCATCTGGTATTCCCAAGCAGTCACTCATCTAGATAATGACCATGCTCGATGTGCTTAACTTTCAACATGAGGTGTCACTAAACCCCTGGTTATATGTTGAATATTCAAATAGATAACTTAATGGAATACTGACAGTATGTACAAATATTGACTCAACCTAGTAAGACTCCAAAATTACACCACCTAATTGATCTAGTGGATGAAAGTATTAGTTAATTGCATCTAAGGTCATGAAAGTCATCATCTGGTTAGATGGAAAAAACAAATGCAGCATCACAAGAACATTAACTGACACAAAATATTCTGCTGTCCATGGTAAGGAATAAGAACAATCAATCCCCATGGACTGAACAACAGCTTCAGTTTGAAATTCCCAATACAGTAGACCTGTGAAGAAGGCTGAAGAGTGCAATGGTTGAAATGTGACTAACAACCAAAATAAGGACAGTATTCTAAATATATAATAAACTTGATCATTTTGTTTTTTTTTTTTTTTTTTTTATTTATTATTTCTTTTAATGTCCAAAATAAGACAGTAAAACCTTGTCCATATTAGCTTGACAGATTGAATTTGTCTATGAATTATGTCAACCTTAAGCAACAATATGTAAATAATGGGAAACTTTGTTTGCAGCCAGAATATAGATCTTCCTACATTATAATTTATATTACACTTTAAACTAAATTCCATACCTAAATTAGAAGAGAAGTTCATCTAATTTGGGTTTGTACACACATATTTTTTATATATATATATATATATATATATATATATATATATATATATACACACACACACACACACACACATTCTGAAGCCTTTTTGGAGAATTAAGCCTGGAAAAGAAGATCAGTATAAAAAAATACTATAATTCTACTCGTCTGTCCATTAATTCCTCTGTTAGCATGTACGTACATACCAATACAGTTTTGATAATGGAAAGATGGAAATGACAAATGCTACATGGTTTCAATGAGAAAAATAAAAATAGACAGAACAGGTGATAACATTCCATTTGTGTTTAGTGGCTGTTTCAATGAAATGAAAAAGTTATCAATTTCAAATCTTTTCCATTGGTATAAGTGAACCATACTACTTTAAATAACGATCAACATTTATATTTATTTATTTGATATTGCAATATTTTGTTAAAGTTGTTAAGTCGAAATATTTAAAGATGTGATAGGGAAATTTTTACAGATATTTCATTGTTGTAGAACTTACCATGAATTTATTCAATCATTAACATAAGAATTAAGATTCATCAGAAAATTCAAATAGTAAAACTGTGAAATGTTCACAGGTATTTCTAGTTTTATATACTGTCTTATCCACTTGATATGAATGATATTTTAGATTATAATTCTCTTAATAATAGTAAAATCTCCAAACAATAAGTCCTTTTAAAACCATTTAACAAAGGCCAGTATATTTGGAAACTGGTGACAAAATTAGCATACTGCGTGAAAGTAAGCATTGTTAATAACTGAACTTTTGTCTTGATGTGGGGGGGGATTTTTAAATACATTACAAAGTTTAATCATTCATTTTATCTGATATATCCTCTATTCAAGACCAGAAAGATTATCTTGTACAAAAACTAATGAAAGTACAAATTGAGCATCCTTTTGAAGAAAGCAAAATGAAAAGGATTTTAGAATTAGCACAAAGAATTGTTTCTTTTTATGCTTACATTTTTCCATTCTTAAAAAAAAAACAAAAAAACAAAGAAAATCAAGTGCATAGACAGCATTAATAAGAATATTGTAAATGTTTTTTTAAAGTTTTACAAAAATAAGCAAAGTTCAGAAATGCATTCTTAATTTTAAACACTTCTAATGTCAAAAATATATAAAAAAATAAATTTAGAATATCTTTCACTTTTTCTTCAACAAGTTAGCATTTCAAAAACTAATGTAAAAATATAATATACATAGCTCTGTCTGTAACACATAGTATCTGAAAGAAAGAAAAAAAAGAAAGAAAAAAGGCCATTTAGTTATTAAAAATGTATTATCTTTTGTGAAAAGTATAAACCTGAAACATTAAAATATACCCAGCAATGATAAAAAAGAAAGTCATTTTTTAAGAGAAAGAGAAGGGAGCAATTATTAGGTTTCTGGGGGCAACCGACGCCATATTGTGATGTGACACATGGTCCACTGATGTTTCCGCTCTGTTTCACGTATAAGCATTGGCATGTCAGTTTGTTTAATCAAAGCAAAATGTGGTGACAAAACTTCTTTAAGAGTGTCAATTGCACGGACAGGGTCCTTCTTTTCATTAAGATAACCCCCTAGCCATCGTGCCTGAAAGAGAGAAAGTAATTATTATTAAAAAGAAAAAAAGTAGAGTAATTTTTCTTAATCAAAATTTATAACATGAGCATGGTATCAAATGCAAAAATCATGAAACATTTTTGTCAGAATTATTTTTATTTCACGAGTGTCATTATGTTTAATTTTTTTTTTTTTCAAAGTATTATTACATTTGCAAGAAAATAAGAATAAAAAGAAAAAAAAATTATGCAAAGTCAAATTTTATGAATCAATGAAAAAAAAAAAAAATCATTATCAATTACATTTCCCACCAACAGAATTCTGAAAGATCTGAATTGGTCTTCAACACTTGATATTTTAGCATCAAGAAAATATTTTATTGATTGAAACAAATAAACTGAAGATGCAAGATCTGGTGATCTTAATGATTTTATTTTTACTAAAAATGTTTTTGTTGAGTAAAGCCTCAAATTATAATCTTGGAGATAACCTTCCTGTTCACCATATGTTTGGCATAAATGTCCAATTGATGTGTCTAAGTTGTTAATAAAGTTCTTTGAATGATGGTTTCTCCAGAATCTTGTAACTAATAATAGATGAAACCAGATGTGTTTCATCAGATGTATATAAAATAAAATAAAAAAAAAACTTCTATAGAGCAAGTTCAGGTCTTGGTTCAACATTGTTTTATTGTCACTTGCCCATTTTTTTTTATTTATATATATATATATATATATATATATATATATATTAGCTATTTCTTATAGGTTCACACTACTCCTTGGTATTTTGAACAGGAGTAGAGGTTTATCCCTTGGATTTCTAGTTCCTTCTAAAGACTACTTCAACACTATACTTCTAATGTCCTGGCCTAAACTCTGAAATTTTATTCACTATTTATTTTTTCTCTTTTCAATAAGAGTAGATAAATTTGCCTATTGTCCAGTTTGTCACTCCTCCCCAGTCTTTTGAACAGGAGCAGAGATTTATCCCTTGTATCCTGTTTAGGACTGGGTTTTTTGTTCCTTCTAAAATCTTCTCATTCTCTTTTACTCCCAGTAGCTCATTGTGTATTAGTGAAATTATCACCTTGCTTGGGGTGAATTGATAAAAAAAATTTTTTTTTTAAATTTTTAAAAATTCCAGAGAAAGAAAAGTTTTTTTTTTTTTCCCTGACCACCAGACTTGCAAATGGCTGACCAGTGAACTATTTATGAGAAACCCAAATTTTCTCCTTCACTTTTTTTCTAAAATGCTTAAAATATTCATATATAGTTGAACACCTGTTGTGTTATGACAGAACTATCAGTTGTCGTCATTAAATTTAGTAAATTATCACTTGTATTTACACCTGGCTATACAAGTCAAATTTTCTTCATTGCCTATGTTTCATTATTACCTTTGTGAAATTTATAGTTTGCAAGGATAAACATGACATTCATTTAAATCTATATCACCCATAGGGTTAATGTTACTATAAAACATAACCTGATAGAAAGGAAATTATTTAACCTTGTTCTTGCAGTAGTTGGTTAGATCTAAAGTTGTATATTTTAAATGTAATATTACATCACAAACAAAATTATGTAAACAATGCTATCAACAAAACTATCACTTTTTATGAAGATCACAAAAGACCAGATTAGAAGTGACTAATTTCTGGAATGAGAAATAATCATTATTTACATGTAGACTATTGTCTCCATCATTGTTATCACAATGTTTCAGCTATTGTACTCTCCAGCCTTCATCAGGTGCTTGTTGATTTGGATAAACTTCGGGGATTTTTGAACTGAGAGGTAGATTGTACAAATTCCATTGCCCATGATTGGGAATATCTCTAGTTTTTATTTAGTTCTTCTCAGTTAATGCTTGCTCCATTTCAACTGAGTTCAATTGAACTATCTGGCCAAAGAACTGAACTCACAATTACTGTCAACAAATGGCTAAAAAAAAAAAACAAAAAACAAAAAACAAAAAAAACTGGGTTATTTTTAAGAGTGATATAAAGACATGTTGGTGCAGAGGAATCATTAATCCGCATTTTTTTTTTCAATATCACAGTTTTAAATATTGTGTGCGCACACACACACACATTTATATATATATATATATATATATATATATATATATATATATACACACACAATCAGTCAGTCAAATTTATATACTTCATTTTCATGGCTCGAGTGTGTACATACACACTTTGGAGTTTTGTGTATTAGATGAGAAGACAAAATGTAAATAGATTGAATTTTTTGATGCCATGAAGAGTAAGTCATTCCAAACAATTATTTCAAAATCTGACCTTATTTTTCGAAGCTGAAATCATCTTAAATTATATTATTTCAATGGTTCTAGTTTAAGAATTGTTGGTTCCAATCCCGGATAAGAACGGCTATCAAAACTTTCTCCTCCCAAAATTCATATGCATGCTGGGGTTTCTTCCTAGCCAATAATATAGGCCACTTCTCAGTCTCATCCGACTTAGTTCTGTTCTTTCTTGAAGTCAGAATGTTGCGATCACGTGTCTGTACCCCTTTTGTGTGTTAACACCATTCTTAGTTTGTGAACTTTTTGCCTTATTACTGTTAGATGTTAAAAAAATATTTTTCACTCACTTTAAAAACAGAAATTTTTAATATTGTAGGTATACACACATATTTATATAAATATATATTTTTAATTACTCAAAACCTAAAAATGTAATTACTATATAGTATATAGAAATAATTTTAATAAAATTAAAAATAGCCACCATTGTATTGGTGTAAATTTTAACATAAGTCAACGAAATCAACTGTTTATTATGATCATCAGGAACTTGAGGTATGACAAGTTTCTGGAAGTACTTGTGTCTATATTTAAATCAAAAAAAAGAAAAAAAAAAGAAAAGAAACTGCAACCTACCTTTGGAGTGAATGATGACAGCCATGTATAGGGAGCCGAGAGAACAAGAATACCATTAACTACTAAAAGATTGGGCAATTGCTCAAGAAACAGGTACGGATCATAAAGACGACATATCAAGTTAGCTGCCAGGACACAATGGAATTTTCCAAGATTTTTTGGAAGGTTACAAGCATCTCCAACTCTAAAACTGACTCTGCCCAAATCCTGTCAATAAAAACATTGCACACAAGAGTCAAATACAATTGGTTGGAAAGGAAGTGTGTGTGTGTGTGTGTGTGTGTGTGAGTGAGAGAAGAGAGAGGAAGAGAGAGAAAAAGAGAGAAGAGAAACATTGATGCTAAGAAACTGAACTGAAATGTGATTTGCTAATATTTTATGATTTTTTTCTCTTAAAATCAAATATTAATTACAAAGTGAACATTGGAGCAAATAAAATTCAATCATGTTAAATTGGCTTAAAATAAAGCTGCAAGAGGAACAGGAAATAATTGACCTTTAAAAATGGAATAAAATCGCTGAAACAATGAGACAATGTCAAGTGAAGAGCAAAATCAGTTCATTTAAATAGTAAACAAAAAAAATTTTTAAAACCTGATCTTAAAATTTTAGAATATTTTGACAATTTTAAACCACATAGTAATAAACAAATCTGCATATTACAAAATTCTTACTGACAAGTTGTAATGCAAATATAGAATAATTACGTACCTCCACCAATTCAATGATAAAAGAGCATACCTTATGAAAAAATGCTCCAAACTTAATAAAAACAAAATTTTTATGATTGTTAAAATCTTTATTATTAAGAGGAAGGATCAAAGTATTTTTTGATTATTTTATTAAAATATTTTTAATGCTTTCTAGCATGTTCAAAATTAAAAAAAAATGTTTTTCTTGCATCAATGGAGGCACCAAAGATTAGTATAGGAAATTTTAGCATCTTTTTGCAGTAAAAAAAAAAAAAAAAAAAAAAAATTTTTCATTTTATTTTTTTACATCTGTTACCACTTTCACAAAATTTTGAGAAATTAAATTTTCAACCTGTTAATATTTATTAGTTAAAAGCAGAACTCCTTGAACAATTTAAATTTTTTTTTTTTTTTATAAAGCAGACACACCATTTACCGAGAATTTGTTCTGAATAATAAAATAAAAAATGCAATAAAACTAAGATTTAATTAGAAAAGCTTTTAATTGCTTTTATAAATAAGACATATTAAAGGACACTATTTTTTTTTTTCAATGAATATAGAATTTTTACAAGAATTTTTTCATTTTTTAAAAATTTTAATTAGAATAATTAAATTTTAATTTTTTTAAAATTCACCATTAATTTCATCTCTTTTAGATGATATTAAGTAAAAATTATATTTACTAATTATAAATTGAAAAGCTTAATTAAAGTCATCAAACACCAATATTTTTTAAAGAATTTGGATTTTGTTTTGTATTTGTATAAATGTGCCAATTTTTGTAGATATGGTGGAATAATGGACAGCGGCTCGGATTGAGGAATCAGAGAGCCGAGTTTGAATTCCAAACGAATCCATTACATTCACTTACATGCTAATGGCCTTGGGAAAGAGATATGAATTCTCTACCCCCCCCCACCTACGGGTAAATAGCATGACAGTCTGAGTTCTATAGCTTTGGATGGCAACCAGTCTACTGCAGAAAGAAATGGCAACCTACTGTGGGGGAAAAAAATCTGCCTGGTCAGTCATGTATCAAGCTACATGATCACCTACATGTGTATTCCGCATGGCACATAACTGATTGAACTATAGTAAAATTAAAGCCAAAGTATTTAAAATTCAATAAATAAAAAAATAAAAAAAAATTAGATTAGAGAATATTTTCCTAAATTTTTAATATTGAGTGCTTAAAAATTATAAAAATGGTACTCACATTATATTCCTCAATTTTTTTTTTTTTTACTGATAGAGCAAAATCTGTTAACAGATCAACAGCTTAAATAAACAGTTACTGTCATGTTAAAAAAATGCATTTTTGCAATATTTTAAACTTAAAGTAAATAATGTTTCAAATCAGATTAATTATACTTTAAGTCAGCTAATCCACAAATAAAGTTTCAGAAAAGTATATTTTAGTTTTTGAAGATATTTTAATAAAGAGAATTACACCACAATGAAAGATGGCTCAAAAATGGCACTAATTAGCTATTTTAGAAAAAAAAAAATTCAGTCAATTTAAATTAGTTTTAAAATACAGCAAAGCATTTTGCTTATTGGAAATATTAAATTTAATCTAATAGCTTGAAATTACAGCTAAAATAAAAGCTTCAAGAAAGATTTTTCAGTTTTAAAAATTCATTTTAAACCTTAGGTATAGTTTCCTGTGGAGGTACCTGTACAATAATATTCTTTTAGATTCTTCCTTTGATTCTTACTTTCATGGTAATGCTTAATGTCTAATCTACAAAGTGATAAGCTGGATATTATAATATTCAGAATATTTTAAACTTGAATAATAAGTTAATGTTAAGTACACACTGGTATGCCACGTACAAATGGTCATGAGTTTGAATTCTACTGAATTTATTTTCTATAAAATTAAAAAAATTAAATCTTTTAATGATTTCCTTTGTATTTTCTCAGTTCAGTGGTAGTTGTTAACTTCACATTTATTCTGCCCCTCCCCTTACTGCTTGAGCACTTATATAGACTATGTCTTAGCTACATATTTACATATTACACTTATCACTTTAGAATTTTTTCTAACTAAATCATTAGAAAATAAAAAAATAAATGCTTGTATAAAAGGAATCTAAGTTCAGAATTTAATGTTGGAAAAACGTAATAATTTGTTTTGCAGAAATGATACATCATGTAGAATATCAAGAAATTTAAAATTATTTTTTACTGTTGCATAAATATTTTTTTCACTATATCTATTACGACCTGTAAGCATAGATAAAAAAAAATAATTTTTTTAATGCACCCATGAGGCAACATTAAAAATCAGACAGTACAAAAAAATCAGGTAAAATTGGATTCTAATTTAGTAACTTTAGAGTAAAAATTTAATTTGTATAGTAAGACATTGTATTTGCATTTCCAGTTTTTACTTTCATAATTACTTTAATTTTTAAGATTGATAATAGGATCAAAAATATATAATTATCAGCTGTACAGAAACATATTCCAGAGATAACAAATCCTTTCAAAATTGCTTAATTACAAATCTGATATTTGACAATAGCTAAAGAATTTCCATCAGTTCTGCTTGTAATAAATATTGTAAAATCGAATTCATAATGGTACCATTTTGTTTTATCACAGGGTTACAGTGAAAGTTATGCATAATTAAAAAAAACAAAACAAAACAAAACAAAAAAACTTACCAACTCAGGATCTAATTGAGCACTGAATTTTTCTGAGAGATCTCCTTCAGTGGCGATGGCATAATTGATCTGCTTCTTCTCTTTCATTGCATTGCATTGCGAGATAAATGCCTTACTATAGTCAATTCCAATCACCTTATCAAAATGTCGGGACAACTCAAATGTGGAACGGCCAACTGCACAACCAATATCTAAGGCACGACGAGGCTCAGTAGAGTCTGACTGAAAAATTTACAAGAAAATACAAAATATTTTCTGAATACATTATTTTATGTTTTGAAAACAATTTTTACATGGGGATGAAGCAATATAGAAATATGAATATGATTTTTTGTGGCTTTAATTTTTTTGTAAGAGTATTAGAACCGAGAAATTTAGAATTTGATCAGTCATTTTAGGAGGACAGCCTTATATGGTTAAATGGTTGCAAGTATGTCTAAAAATGCCATATTCCTTCAGGATGTATGCAATCATGACTCTCCACAGATTCATATTTTTTATTATCTGTGAATTGACATGCTTTCTTGGGGAAAATAGTAGAGTGGTTTCTCTGTTACCTTCTCCATGGTTTGGAATTTAAAGTTTTTCCTTCATTTAAACTGGTTGTCACCAAAGGTTAAGATGTATATCCTGCTATTAACACATAGCTACTAGGGAAAGAGATGGGTTTGAGTTTTCCCCAAGAGCATTGTGTGAAAGTGAATGCAGCAGACAAGCCCAGAATTTACTGTTCACCAATTACAGTTTCTGCACCAATAATCATTACACTATTCATAAGTAGACTGAACTGATTAAAAAAAATGGTTAGTGTAAAAATTTATCTCAATTTTAAACCATATAACTATTAAACTATATTACAAATGTGGTTAAAGCCATCAACAATGAGAATATTTTAATGTTTTAAGATTTTAATTAAAAGAAAACCTACGAGATCAGCAACTAGGTCTCATTGTTTTACTGTTGAATTAGCCAGATGTAACTGAAAATTCTATTCTAATAGCTTATTTTCTCTAATAGCTCTTCTCACATGTGGAACGCTTCTGATTTCTTGCTTTCTGGTTTTTTTCTGCCACCCAAAAGTCCTCAAAAATTTAAATGCAATTGCCATCTATTGTTTTCCTGAATCTCCTTTTATTGTCCTTTCTACTTATTCAAGTCTTCTCATTCTCATCCACACTCAGTAATCCCTTGTGTCTTAGTGGCATTATCACCTTGCTTGGGGTGAAATTATTAAAAACAAAAATTTAAAAAGTTGAAAAATGTAGAAAGTAAGATTTTATTCATTGATAGATCAGAATCTGAGACTTGTAGTTTGATCCTTTTAGGAAAGCATATTATATATATATATATATATATATATATATATATATATTTCTTTGGGCCATAACTTTATTTTGACTAAGCTTTACTTTAGAAGCTGTGCATTGACCAAATTTCTTTCAAAATGATGTTTGGAAAATTTTATTAAAAAAAAAAAAAAAAAAAAAAAAAAGAAAATCAGTAAAACTTGAATCATAATCCCAAAGATAAAAATTTATTATACATAACTGAGCTCATGTTATTTCTGGTGATGGGACAATACCAATATTTTTACCAATTCCGATACTGTTCTAAATTTCCAATTCCAATATGATTCCAGTACCTACAATGATTAAAATTCATTACTTTCAGGCCCTACAGTTGGTTTGGGAAACTTAATGTATAAAGTACATTTATTAATAAAACATTTAACAGAAACATGAATACAAAAACTTATGAAGTTAGATATCCTTTTTATTTAAAAATTGGGTAAGAGTTTAAACAATAAAGAGAACAATTCCTTTAAGTAAATCACTTAAGTACCTAGTTACTCATATTTAAGTCCTAAAATTCTTAATGTCAAAACATTATCCTCTCTTCTGTTTCACCTTTCAGCCAATTTCTTTTTGGTAAGTAAATGTTACCTCCAATACTAAATAACCATTCACTTTCAACAGAAGAGGGAGGTGCTGATAGATATTTCCTGGCTAAACGCACCATGATGGGAAATTGTTTCATTTGAATTCTACCACTGAAAAAACATCACTTCTTATATTTTTTTTTTAATGTAATATATTTTGCCATTTCAAGTTTTAATATGTTTCTTTGCTTGTTTCACTGGCTGCTTTATCCTGTATTCTCATACACATTGGCTCCTCTTTTCCTTTAATTTAGTGAGGCACTTTGTAAAACTGAAATTAAAGTCACTATCATTATCACTTTTCTCTTCAGACAGGTCATTCTCCATGCCTTGTGATACTTTGTTTTTTGTCCGTTTTTCCTTCAGTTATAGAATAGATATCTTGAGTGAACCATTCTGCAATAATCTCGTCATTAGGCAGGCCCCTGTAGTTATTTTCAAGGAAACCAGTCTTGAACCTGAGATCAAGATATGTTGCTAAAATAAGGTTTTTGTCTTCAAAGTAGCTGCTAAATCTAGCATTAAAAGAAGCTTTCCATACTGAAATAGTCTCCCTATTTAAAAAGGTGATAATAACTTTAATGTGTACTATAATATAAGATGCAGTTGCCTCTTTATTACTTAATAAATTTGTACAATCAATGAATTGTTTAAGTATTTTCAATAATTTCTGTAAAAATCTTCTATTGGTTGGATTCTAAACAATGGTTTTGCATAATCACTGCAATATGAGAAGAGCATTTTTTTGGTTCAAATATTCTGGTCATCATAATACTGTTCCATCTTATCTAAGCATCCTGAATAAATTCAGGATTTGGTAAATAAATTTTTTTTCTAGTATTCTTGGTACTTTGCAAAAGCTGCAGGGTGAGTGATTGAAGTGCTCAACTATTTGTTTTCATAATTTTGATTATAATTATTAAATTATTAATTTATAATATTAAATTAAATGAATGCATTAAAAATGTTTAAAAAGAAATTAAAAATAAAAATTTTATTTTGAACTGAAACAGACTTTAAACTAGCAAACTTTATGGAAAGTTTGAGAACCGAGTAGAAACTTGCACATTTATTTTTATTTTTTTTTATATCATACTTAGGTGTTCTTATGAATTATAGATTTTAGTTTTACTGATAGTTTAAAATCAATAAATATTTATATCTTTTTATTAGTACCCGGTATGAAAAATAAGTTTTAAACAAAAAACAAAATCCAAAGAATCATTTTTCAAATTGGAAATTAAATTAAAAATTCTAATTCCAATTAAGATTCCCCAAATTGTTCCAATATTTCTGATTCTCAATTTCAATTCATCATCTCATCACTTGTTTCCACAAAATTTTAGACATTCTATTCTATGACTTTCTTCAAGTCTACTGTCCATATGAAAAGAAAAGAGGCAATATCTTTATTAAATTGAACTTTGTGATTCAAGAATTGATACTGCTGAGATCTAAAACTCATCTAGATTTTCAAATATCAGTTCAGTTAGTGTGGATGAGAAATTGTTAATAGACAATGTTTAATTGATATTATCCGAGGCAAAAAAAGCATGAAAACAACCCTTTGAATGCAGATAGTCCAACAATTATCTAAACCAATTGACACAAATTCAGATTTATGGATCAGTCAAACTCATTAGTAATAATTGAGGAGACTATCACAAATTGTGAGAAGAAAAGACTAACAATTGTAAGACAGAATGTATAGTCATTAATAAAAACAGCTCAAAATGAGAGTTACAAATTGGAATTGTCAAAAGAAAGTAAATACAAAAATTTAACTACCTGGGAGGTTTTATAACAGACAATGGAAAATGTGACACAGAAATCCAAAGAAATATTAAAAAATGAAAAATTCCTTCCAAAAACTAAACAAGAAACAGGAAAATCTTGGAAACAAAGATAAAAGTGCTCAACTATAATATCAGTCCTCGTATATGACAGTGAATGATTATGTGAAGATTGTTTGAAAATAAGTGTTCAAAAACAATTATTTGAAAAACACTTATTTGAATTGTAAACTGTTTGAATGAAAATTAATTGAAAATACAATTATACTAAATGATAATTATTCAAAATGCAAAATTCTTTATTGCAATAAAATGTAAAAATTAAAAGAGGAAATATACAAATGATAATTATTCAAAATACAAATATCGTTAAAACAATTTAGAAAGAAAAAATCCTTATAATGTTATGATACTGCATGCAAATAGTCAACTACTGCAGAGTACTTGTTAAAGGATGTCACTAATTTTTTTTTAAGTTTTTCATTTACATTGTGGTATTTCTTGGCACTCTTGATATTTTGCAACTTGCTCTTTTGCAATATGAATTTCTTGCAAGTTCTCTTCCTTTTTAAGAGTGTTTAAGAATTTCCATATTGTGGGACGATTGGATGACACTTGCTATATAAAAAAAAGCCCTATGCCATACTTTAAAGGTGTTATTAGTTTTAGGTTAATCAGCATTGACTCAAAGCAATATATAGATTTCAAACATAAGTATTTTGAATAATTATCAAATAGTATAATTGTCCTTTCAATTAATTTTCATTGAAAATTTACAATTCGAATAAATGTTTTTTGAATAATTGTTTTTGAATAATTTTCTCAATACAACACTGAATGCTCAATAATTTCCTCACAGATGAAGGAGGAGACTCGAGGGAGCAGAGATGTGAACATGAGCAACTAGGAAACTTTAAGGAAAGTACTAACAATTAGGACATTTGTACTTTGACACAGAAGTAGAGGAAACAGCAAATAACATATCTAATAAGGCTGTGTAAATGGATGGCAGAACAGGGACTAGGAAGTATAGTAAGGAGACAAAAGATTACTTAGAGTTACAAAGGATAGGAAATTATGGAGAGCCATGATCATTCATATTCTGAAAGGATATAAAAGATCAAAATTTAGATAAGAAATTAGCAGTGACATTTATATTAAATACCAGTGTGTGTAATAATAAATAAGAGTACTTGTTGCTAAACCAAAAGGAGGTTCTGAGATCTGCAAGATTCTGAGAAGTATTTTTTTTTTTTTAATATAATTCTGAATAATTTGGATACGTCAATTTTCTACTGACTGTTGCAACCCAATCAATAGTGTCAAAATTTTTAACTGTTGGTCCATCAAAGCTGCACAAATAGAAATAACTAACCATAGTTTTATAGTACAGTGAAACTTAAGCTATACCATACAAATTGTTTTCATTAGGTTTCCAGTCTTTTTTTCAGATACAAATATTAGGATTTATGACTATATTTTAAGTACAT